GTAAATATCTAGCATATTTGTAATGTTTCAAAGCACTTACTTTAATGACAAATTTTTGGAATCAATTTGAAAAAGTATCGAAGATTGAGTAAAAGTTTTTTATACTCCTGGTCGCGTATTTTAAGGAACAATGACTGTACTCATGTCAAGGACAAATGCTATTCAAAACCTAAATAAGATGAACAGAATTTTTTATGTGATATGGTTCAAAACAGAAAAATGAACGGATACCACAGCGTTCACCTGCGTGTAAATTGGTCCATTTCAATATTGATCAAGGAAAATATTCAGGTATGTAGCAAGCCTTATTCTTTATATGTTAGCTAATTTTCAGATATGAAATGCTAGTTGCCTTTATTTTTATTATTTCAAGATTTTGTGTATATGAAAACTGTATCTAGATACAAGATTATAGATTTGAAATGCTGATTATTTTTTTGTTATTATTTATTTATTCATTTAATCGTCATTGCAGCCATAATATATTTCTTTGATGAGTTCCAACTAAAACGAAATTTGAATTGATTTTGAAAATACGATGCACAATTAGCACTCATCAGAATGCACGTTGCAGTGAGAAGTGTGGTTTTAAACAATGTATTTCATCTGCCTTCCCGTTTGAACGACGTAGTCATGCCTTATTTGTCATTTCGGTGCCTTTTATAGCTGACTATGCGGTATGGGTTTCGCTCATTGTTGAAGGTTATACGGTGACCGATTATAGTTCTTAACTTCTATGTCATTTGGTCACCGGTGTAGAGTTGTCTCATTGGCAAGCATACCACATTATCTTATTTTTATATTCATACAAGTTAGAAGAAATGAACTGAGACATCAATGCAATTCAGAATAAAATTAGCAAAACTTCTATTATTGTTCTATTCTAAATTTCAAACCCTATTCCGAATTTAAGGTTGACCACAAGTACTCCTTGTAACCGAGTATAAAAAGTAATCCAACTATTGTTGGGTAGATATTGAGTTTCTATAGAATCTTCTTCAAGCCCTCGATCGACACAGCATTATACCTTTTTCTTAAGTTCGAATTGTTTGTTACTTATATAAAATTTGGAGATATAAAATGTTTTCAAAAAATGAAGAAATTATTGTTTCTCTAGTACAATCTAAACTGCTGTTCTCAAAAAAAAATTCTGTTCTAAAAAACAAATATAAAAGAAGTCTTGATTTATATAGCAGGTCAACCAGAGGAAAGAAAATGCAATTGAATAATTTTCAACCACAATTGCCTTAAAAATATATCAATATAGATATGTCTTTTTATAAAACATTAATGTCGTAAATATTACAATATTTTGTGGTAATTTTTCCAATAAACGTAACGTCACAGTACCCAAATTGCACCGAGTACCCAAATTGCTCCCATTTTTTTCAAAAATAGCAGAGGAAATCTTCGAGAATAAAACATTTGTATTTTTATGATTTGACATTACCTATTCACTCGACCTTCAATCTCTACACTAGAGATGGGTTACGCATGTGTAAATCATGCTCAATTATTTAAACATTAAGAATGCGAACATTGGAAAGTCATGGAAACTAGGGAGCCACTTCGAAGATCCAATTCGTTGACTGATTCTGCACAAACACGATCATTCTTATTCGGGTATAACGACATGCACGTGCCTCTCTGTGCATTTATATTTATGTTTATGTTTATGTTTATATCGAGTCGTATTTCAATCAATGCTGATCCATTACAACGGTCCATGCATTGTAAATTGTATATTTTGGAGTTTTTGTAATTTGGATATACGTTTTAGTATGTTATAAATCAAATATGATAATTTCAATTTTGAGTCGATGAATATAAATTTGACAGCTAGTGAACATCCCTTAAATACGTCTAATTAAAATCGGTGCCTGGACCATACATAGAGAAGATAGATACCGACTGCATCGTCCTTTAAATTGTGTTTGCACGGACAGGAGATTTAAGAATCCAATTGATATCATATTAAGTTGCAGACTTACATACGTTCTGTTTTATTGTGATTTCGGTTGCTGTCTCATGTACTGTTTTCCAACTTCATTAATATACATGTATAATAATTTTTGCTTCTAAAAATATATGCTGATTATAATTGTTAAGTTAGCGTCCACCAATGATTTGTATAACTGAAGGACGAAAAACAGTATTTTGAAGAGAAATTGAAACAATTTTTGAAAGATAAAATACATTCCGCAGACACGAGGTAAATTCATAGAAAATATACATAATAGACCGCAGAGGTCACTGTATGATATACCCAACAAAAAAAAAACGCACAACCTCTATTAGTTTCGTTGGAGTATAGTTTTCTATTGTATATTACTCTTTCAAAAGTGATCGAAATGAGTCAAATTTTGACACAACATTTTTGAAGTCATACACACCACATTTTGTGAAAATGAGATTTTTTATTTTAATTTTAATAGTTGACATCTCAAAAAAACACATTTTAAAACACACAAAAACAATGTTGCCTAATTTATGAAAAATAAAGTCGTGTGTAACTTTTGACCAGAAAACAACGAAAATAACTTTGGTTTTCATTTTCATAATCAATTCTTGACTAATAACCAAGTTGCCTTTGATTTTTTTTTTTTTTGAGGTTAAAATCTTCATTGTCACTACAAAAATGAAAATGTCTCTGTAAATCTGCATTGTTTTGAAGGTTATGCTTCAAATATAATATATTTCTACAAATTTGTATCTAAAACAAAAAAATTGTGAAAACTAAAAAGTACAGTATGATGTGGTGCGTTATTTGTGTTGTTAGGTATATTACGGTTTTTTCATGACAAAGAAATATACAAATATTGCGTATTTGTTTAAATTTGTCGTGGAAGCGAGAAATTATAGCAATCCTACATTCCGTCGTTGTCGGCGGCGTCAACATTTATGTTTTGTCTGTAGTAAAGGTTATACATCAATTACTTTTTCAATCCTGCATGAAATTTAATGAAATATGGACAAAAGCTTATTTCAGGATCAAATGACAGTTTCCGTATTTTGAGTGTGAAAGGACTCTGTATTTTTCCGTTAACTTGGAGAAGCAATGCAGTCTAAGGTTAAAGTACTTGTGACATCAATACCTTTGTCAAGCTGTTGTGGAGTTTTACGAAACTTTAACTTAAGCTTTTGTATGATTATAAGACAGTAATAGGTAGATAGATATTTTTATTTGAAAGTACAAATTGGAACATGTACATGAAATACAATATATTACAATTCTAAAAATATGTAGTCAATAAACATGTATATTTATATCCCAACCAGCCTTTAGAGGCTTATGATGCACTGTCATTTATGTACGAAATATTATATGAATACATTTCAAAATCATATTAATCCTTTTCATATCTGAGGCTGAAATCTTTTAAGATAGTTTTAATATATCAGTTGTGTTTAATAGTGTGAAAATAAAGATGAAAGTATCTAAACAATTATTGGTTTGATAATGTAAAGGTTGTACAGGGAAAAGCAGGATGATAAGAGTTGCCTCTCTTTGTTCGTATCACCATTTTATCATGTGTAAAATATAATTTGTAATAAAAGATAAAAAAAAAAGATTTTATCAACTAGATTGGAACTAAATTGTGACAGTTGTATAGTTGATCTATATAAAAATCATTTATCATATCTACAGAGCCAGCAAAGATCAAAGGACTTCGTTTTTTGTTTGCATTTGACATTGGGATACCGTCATGCATATGGTTTCAATTTTTTTAAGGCACCAATAACTTTGCAAACTTTCTAGAAATTTAATTCAACTTAAGACAGATGCTTCGTAATTTCGTAATCTTCATTATAGAGCGTGTCAAGAAGGTTTAACTTTTATAAATTTTTATGTATGTTACTGATAAATGAACATCCTTTTTAGCAATCAACATTACACCGTAACATTAACAGCAGCAATCCCAGGCGAGACACAGGGTCCCGCGGAACCCTTTACGATTTTTTCTAAGAAAAGTACTTGGACTCAATATGATTCTTGCATACTAAAGTGTTTCCAGTAATGAATCTGATGAAGTTTTTTTCAGTTTTTTAACTTTATACTTTGTGACTTGCATCTAAAAAAAGCCAAAATAATGTGTTTTCCATTTCAAACTAAAATTTGTGGAAAAAATTTGGAAGGTTTGATAGTTAATTACATACTGAATGTATTGTATTCGGTTTAACGACCAGATGTAAGAGCAACTAATGAATTTAAAGAAATCGATGCAATACCAGCAAATAAGGTTTGAAACTACCCTTTTGATGTAGTCACTGTTTGTACATCGTTATAGTTTTTTGAGATAAGGATAAGACAACGTTATAGTTTTTAAGATAAGGATAATGCAATTCAATTTGTGTGACACAGGCCGTTGCTTTAGTATTGCGAAATTGATTGCCCCTTATATATGTAAAAATATGTTCGCTGAAAGAAAACAATTCATCACAGTATTATACAATTACAGTTTGGTCTTCATATTATATAATCTGCATTTCCTATTGTTTAAAACAATATGCCTTCCATACCCTCTCCCTCCTCCGTGGTGTTGTCACATACTGTATCGGTCATAGACTAACTCAAACTATAAAACTTTATCGAATCAGAAACTGTTCAATAAAATCATGTTTCCCAGGACGATGGGAAGACCGAGTCATACAAAATCTTTAGAAAGATACTTATAGATATATCCGATCTCCTGGGTATGTATACATTTCTTGAAATATTTATATAAAAGTTAAAAGATTTGTTAAATTCTAAAAACACACTGTAATTGATACCTCACGGTTAGCTTCCTTGTGTATTATAAACGAACATAATTGAAATATTAGTATTCGTATACGTCTTTTGTTTTAGTGACTTTTAAAATGACAATTAGTAACTTTATCACTCAGACAGTTAACCAACGCGATTTTTATTTGACGCTTTGTTCGCATTGTTAGAATAACTTCACATTGAATCAGAACAATTGTTACGAAAATCTATAAATATTCCCGTAGTCCTAATATTCGCTGATATTATGCAATGCTAGTCAATATAAAGGGATTGAACCGTTTGAGCTGATATCTATCAATCTGGTGAGAATCTGTATCTGTTTTGAACATTTGTTTGACGAGCAAAGCTTTTTATTAGGAATCCGACTTTTGGTAAGTTATATTCCGGAATTTGTATTTTTTACGTATATTGTTACTGTACTAAGTCACACTTAACACACATTTCTTCTAAATCAAATACTGACAACTGCTCTTGACGAAAATCATTAACATTCGTTGTTTAAAGCTGAGGACGCAAACGTTAAGCTGCTAATTTCTATAATAACTGCAATTTGATATCAATTTCATACATTAAATCTTACTTTTTTCATGTTTACTCCAAATTATGTTTCATTACAAATCATAATTAAAATAATTTTTTAATTGACAAATCTACAAATGCTTTTAAAACTTAAACATCTGCAACTTATTTTCTTATTTCATAATTTGTGCCGAACTTGTCAGAAAGTTTATTAACTCACATAGTTTTTTTAATAAGTATCTCTCAAAAAGAGGCGGAAGATACTAAAAGGATATTCAAACTCATATGTCAGGAATATTGTTTAAAACGTCTTCTTTTTCATGAAATTTGAAAACCGGGACTTGTAGTTATTAGCAGTGTAATATTTGATTAAAATCCGAATCATATAAAATTGTTTGTTTTATTAACCTTGTTGTTACTAGAAATTATATCATTGATATTATAAATATCATCTTCTGATGGACAAATGATAACGATAAGTTGCTATAATAGTAATTATTCCGCCCTTTTTTATGGTGAAATCTCTATAAAAAATTCAAGGTTAAAAAAATATGACCAATGTTTTCTCGTTTAAAATTCAATAGTATATGCATTGTTTGTTATTAAACAAAATAAGAACATGAAAACGTAGGGTCACCGTACTGGAAGAGAGATATTTTTACGCTAAACATTTGAATTGGCGGGAATACATTGCGCCAATTCTGAAAGCAACGTCGAAAGACGTTAGGCCGAATTGGCGATGTTTTCACAGCTTATGGATATTTCAATTCCTATTCATTTGCTGTTTTGTTTGTTTTCAATTACACTAAATGAACATTAATATACACATGATGGTAGTTAGTTTTTTTTAGCGAAGACAAGTAATTTGAAAGTGGTAAGTCGAAAACAATGCCCTGTACGAATATCTAGAATGAAAATTTCGATTTATTTAATAAGAATGTTCATGTTTTATGAATATTGACTAATTATAGATAGTGAAAGGAGATCAAGATCTTTTATACTTTGTTTTATGCTGAATAACAAGATGGGGTCTTGTTAATGTGAATACGTTGTATCGAGAACTTTTTTTTAAAATCCTCTGTAGAACAGTTTTGCAAGCTTTTTCTTTAAAGTGTTCCAGGCAAATTACAAGTACACTATTGGAAAATAATTCTTTAAAATTTGTTATGAGTGTGTTTAGTATTGCAAATTTAACATTCGTAGAATTTTGCATCAAACGAAATATATAGGGAGACGGATTAATATAAAGGAAACCTTGTTTCCGAATCCCTTTGTATTTATATATTACTGCATACATATGTATATGTCATGTGCATGATTTTTTAAAATAAAATATGGTTTAAGTAAAAGAAATATAATTCAGTTAAAGTATATCTGAAAGACAAGTCGCTCTTGCTTTCTATACATATCAATTTAGGTTAGGGATGTCCTTCCTTTCTTTTTTGACGATAATTACTTAAAATTAACCGAATTCGAACATAATTTCCGTTTTAGGTCATCTGTAGGCATTGATAATTTTATTATATGTTTAGAAATACGCTGCAATGTTGCTAGATTCTCAGTCTAAGTACACACACATTCAGCTGTTATGCTGTGATTTTTTTTAATGACCCTAGCGTGAAATAAATTTCATGGGAACCTAGTCCGACCCTATTTCTTTCATATTTAAATAAAAAAAAAAAAATTCTTGTGAAATTGTTTTTAATGATATATATTCCACTATAATTAAACAGACCTCCTAGTTCATTAATTAATTGGATTGATGAATTTGAAAAAGAAATTACAACTGCCATCAATCATAATTCAGATATTATTCTAGTTGGTGATTTTAATATAGATTTTTTGAAACCTAATAAACAACCACAAAAATGGCTAAGTTGATTAAAAACCTATAATCTCAACAAGATAATTCAAGAAGCAACAAGAGTTACACCTGATTCTAGTACACTAATTGATCATGTTTATGTCACCAATCAAGATTTGATACTAGAATCACATGTTGCTAAATTCTCAATAAGTGATCATTATCCAGTTTGTTTAACTAGAAAAGAAAAAAATTCCACTTATATCAAAAAAGATATTCATACTACCATTTCTTACAGAAATTTCAAAAAATTCAATGAGACAAATTTTCTAAGTGACTTAGCTATTGCACCTTTTGGTAAAATTGAACATGAAAGTCACCCAAATACATGTATTCAGATGTGGTATGACATATTTAATGGAGTTCTAGATAAACATTCACCAATTGTTACTAAAAGAGTAAAAAGAGACAAACAACCTGAATGGTTCAATAATGAAATTACATATGCCAGGAAAATGAGAGAGAAATACCATAGACTAGGAATGTAGTCCGAGTTCAAATTTTGGAGAAACAGGACAAAACACATAATCGATGAATCTAAAAGAAATTTTTATTCAAAAATGGTAAAAATTCAAAAGCTTCAAAAGATTTGTGGAAATGTATTCACAGTCTTAACCCATCCCAACAAGAAAAACCATATGAACCTTTAAATGAAGATGGTGCTAAAACTAATAATGTCAGTGATATTTGTAATGTTTTTAATAAGTTTTTTACATCGTGTGTTGAAAACCTGAGGACTGGCAGATGTATGAGCAAAAATCATGATTATGCAAAATTAACTCAATTTGTACAAAAGAAATTTACTTAGTCAAAACAAGTAAAATTTTCAATTCCACCTGTCACAATAAATGATCTATTTAATGTGATGATCAAACTTGACATTAGTAAATCCGCCTGATCTGATAACATAGGACCAACATTTTTTAAATTGAGTGCTCCCTTCATAACTTCATCTTTAACTTACATTTTTAGCAGAATAATAGATACAAGTACATAACCCAGTGTTCTAAAGAATGCAAGAGTAACCCCTGTTTTTAAAGCTGGGGAAAAATTCATGGCAACAAATTATAGACCAATTTCTGTACTTCCTGTGTTATCAAAACTTTTAGAAAAGCATGTTTCAAAACATTTGTATGACTATCTAAAAAGATTAGATCTTTTACACCCAGCACAGTCTGGGTTTCGACAAGAACACTCTTGCCAAACTGCCCTTATCAATATCATAGATAAATGGGTACAGGATATGAATGAAGGTAATATCAACTTAGCAGTCCTGTTGGATTTTAAGAAAGCTTTTGATGTAGTAGATCATGTTATTCTCTGTAAAAAACTTGAAATTTATGGATTTGATAATGCTGCTGTTTCTTTTTTTTAATCGTATTTGAATGAAAGAACTCAACAAGTACATATTGGTAATGCTCATTCCGAAAAACTTTATATCAAGTATGGTGTCCCCAAGGCTCCATATTAGGGCCCCTTCTGTTTATATTATACATAAACGACCTTCCTATCTATATGAAAAATTGTTGCACTGATTTATATGCTGATGATTCAACTTTACATTTTTCTGGTAATTGTTATCAAACTCTGCAGTCAAAGGTACAAGAAGATTTACATGGTGTTGAGGAATGGTGTAATGATAACAATATGTTCATCAATAAAAATAAAACAAAATATATGATTATTGGAACAAAGCAAAAAGCAATGCCACATTACAATGAGAGTTGTTGAACTATTAACAATCAAGTGATACAATCTTCCACATGCGAAAGTCTCTTAGGCATTAAAATTGACCCTTCCCTCACATGGTCAAACCAAATTGATGTGATCTGCTCAAAATTTTCATCTAGGCTATATCCACTATTAAAGATTAAGAAATTTCTAAATCTAGACTGCAGAAAATTATTCTATAATGGTTATATCTTGCCACTAATTGATTATTGTTGTATAGTGTGGAGTAGTTGAAGTAGTGAGGGTTTAAATAGAATATTAAAATTACAAACGAGAGCTGCTAGATTAATACTAGAAACAGACCCTTTGGCTCCTTCCAAGCCCTTATTCAAACCCTTAAACTGGATGTCAGTTGAACAGAGAATAAAATATCACAAGTTTGTGATGACATTAAAGTACATCAAAAATGAGGCACCATCATATCTTACTAACAAGTTTCATTATGTTTCAGACAGAAATCCATACCCCTTGAGAAATTCTATTCAAGGAAACCTCATACTCTCTAAACCAAACACAGAATTGTTCAAAAAACCTTTTATGTATTCTTGACCATTCTTGTGGAATAATTTGCCAATACCGTTAAGAAATATTACAAATGTTAATTCTTTCAAATACAAAATAACAGATCATTTATTGAAATCAATCTAGCTGTATAAAAAATATTGAAAACTGATTATGTCATCACGTTTATTTTTTCATAACATTTTATCAAGTTGTATTGAACATTATTATCATACTTGTCTTTTTATACTAATGTATGCAATGTATATGTTTGCATTTTGTTTGATTTTTATGATGAGGGCCTCAGGGAAGATTAGTTATATAGCTAACTGTGTAACCCTCTTAAAATAAAGAATTGTTGTTGTTGTTGTTATTATAATTCTTCTTTCCGACAACTACTGCACAAGTTTATGTATTATACACAAAATTGTGCATCATCATCTTCGTCGTCGTCGTCGTCTTCGTCGTCGTCATCGTTATCATCATCATCATCATCATCATCATCATCATCATCATCATCATCATCATCATCATCATCATCATCATCATCATCATCATCATCATCATCATCATCATCATCATCATCATCATCATCATCATCATCATCATCATCATCATCATCATCATCATCATCATCATCATCATCATCATCATCATCATCATCATCATCATCATCATCATCATCATCATCATCATCATCATCATCATCATCATCATCATCATCATCATCATCATCATCATCATCATCATCATCAT